TTATCCGGCATCATTTCACCAATTCCAGAGAGAGCTTTTACTTTATTCAGGTTCTGGGAAGACTGGATGGTGGTGGGCGTGCAGCTTTAAGTCAGGAGACCAGGATTGTAACACAGGTGCCCCCAGTAACTAGTTGTCTAATCCTTAACAAGTCACTTTGTCTTTCCAGGCTCATTTTCCTCATCTGTCAAGTCAGATGAAGGTTAAGGAATAGTCGATCTCTAAAAATCCTTCCAGCTCTACAGTTCTATTCTGGGTCTGTCTGCACCTGCAGACAGTGATGTGGGGGGCAGGCAGGGCACTGAGGAGGAAGACACATTTAGTCAAGAGAATAAAACACTTTTACCTGGAGCAGCCCTGTGTCCTCATGTGTTATGAGGTAGGCTTGTCTCAGATTATCCAAATAATTGACTGGACTCTCTCCTTTCTTTGCCCGTGGACACACAACTTTAGTTTTTCTGGGAGTAGCAGCTGCTTCTCTGAAATTTCCATCCCAGGGCTTCTGTCTCCACTGGGTCCTTTCAGAAGCCTATCATAGTTTTTCTGGATGGATTCCCATAGAATTTTAATCGAGTCACATAAAAAAAAGTACTACACATAATAAAAGGCAAACCCAGATTATGGGTTGACTGTTTCTTTATTGAATTGACTTCAAGGGCTTGGAACCTAGGAGGGCATCATTTGTGCTACCAGCCCAGAGCCATGGCTAGGGCCAATGAGTTCCCTTACTTAAGGGTCTGTGCTTGAAGCTATAGGGAAAAGTCCTGCCACAGGTCCTGACACCTCCAGATTCTTGGTAACTGGCTGTTTAATTAAATTGATTGTTTTCCCATAATATCCCATTTTCTTCTTATCCCGGGTAAGTATTTGCATTTCCAGTAAGGGGAGGGGGCGGGCTGGGGTGGGGGGCAGTCGCTGCCCTCAGGAAACTCAGCTTACTTAAGCTAACTTTAAAAGATGTAGTTCTCCAACTTTGACTTGTGGAAAGTTCCCCTGGGAAGGCAGCTAGAAATGCGCATTCCTGGACCTTGCTCTCAGACATTCATTCAGTCGGTTTGGAGCAATAAAACTGCAGTTTATTCAGCCCAGGGCAGCTTGATACAGGAAGGTGAGAGACTACTAAGAAATGCTCATGGCTAGAAATAAACAGCATTATTAGAAACGGGAACTTTACGTTTGGATTTGTATTTCATGTTGTCTGGAAAAAATTCATGAAAACTGATGCCTAATACTCAGGGTTCCTGGCATTAACATTAACATCATTGCTCTATATCTCTTTTATACACATTACAATCACTGGCAGATTCCAAAAACTTAAAGCAGACATATTACTACTTCCCTGAAGGAGAGATTAAAAAAAATCAAATGCACGGGTAAGTGACTGCTCAATAAATAGTTGCCACTTAGAACAAAATATGTCATTGTTATCCCCTACGAGAGCGGGGAGGGGCAAGGATGCCTGAGGCACAACTTCAGATCGGATTTGGCCACCGTAGGGAGAATCCTCTAGCGCCGGGGAAATGTGGCGGGGCCACCACCCCGGGACGCTCACCCGGGCATGCTTGCTGCGGGCAGCAGTTAATTCCTTGGACAGTTCCCCATCCTCGACCTAAAATAAGAGGTGGTAGGTTGGGCATTTTTATTTTTAAAGACTTCTGTCTGGGCCTTCCACCTGGCGCGGTAGGTTTCAGCATGGGTTTCAGAGGGCGGCGGCGCTGGGTGCAGCCTGAGATCTGGGACTCTCCGCGGTCCGGAGGTCTCCGGAGTAGGTAAGGAGGCCCCAAGGGACCCGGAGCAGTTGGGATAGGGGCGGAGGGAGGGCCTGGCCCCAGCCAGCTGTCGTAGGATTTAAGGCCCCATCTCCTAGGTGGTGGGGAAGGCCTGGTGGGCCGGGATTTAGGGCACCACGTTCTCCCCGCCCGCGGAGGCCCCCAAAATTGCCTCTGGTTGAGCTCTGCAGGTAAACAAGGGCCCCATACACAGCCCGAATCCCCGTCAGGAGGACCCGAATCCCAGGTACCCGCACTGGCTGTGTGGTAATGGGAGCCAAGACCTCGCGATGGCGCCCCACATTGGCTCGGCCCGCGAGGGAGTGAAGCCCTCGGGGCCTCGAAAGGCCAACCTGGGCGTTTGAACATTGAGGCAAAGTCGGAGACTTGGCTGGATTCTGTCTAAAGTCCACTCTACATCTTCAGGACCGGACGACCACAAAGACACCCCCCCCCACAACCCACCCCTGCCGACCGGCCCCGGCAGAGCCAGGAATCAAAGGCACTTTCCACCCAGAGGCCCAGTTGGCGTCGGGTTTGGAGGGCTGCGCCCGCGGAGGAGGACTGACGGGCCACCCATCTGCCGGGGACCCGGGATACCCGCCCTGCAGAGACTAGCTCAGGACAATCGCGCGCGCGCGCGCGCGCGCACCGCCCCCCCACCCCACCCCGTGCGCACACACAACCCCCAACCAATGAAATAAAGTAAAAACCCAAGGTCTGCCTCCGGGCCAGAGACACCCGCCGGACCAAGCGTTGGTTCTCCCAGTGAACTAGGGGGTCGGGGGAGGAAGGGAAAGGGGGAGAGTGCGAAGGACCCGGCTCAGGCCCCCCTCATCATCACCACCCCCGACACTTGCTGGGGTCCGGCTGGTCGACGGCGGCGGCGGGACGGTGGGGCGGGCCGAGCGCATCTTGCTGCCAGCCGGAGCCCCCTGGAGCCCACCGGCACACACTTGTAAACCCCCTCCCCCTCCCCCCTCGCCACCG